CCGGGAACTCAATGTTAGTTTGAGCTCTAAAAAGACTTTCAGGAAGCGGTTCAGAAAGCAGAAGGGAGGCAGGTGGCTTTATAATGGGAGATGAGAAGCATATGGCAGAGCTGAAGATGCGTATGAGGCTGGAAGCAGCGATTGGATCTCGGCATTGCAAAAATGATCCCCAAGAGTCTAGCAAGCGTAATCTCGGCCATTTTAGCTCCATTTCTCGTGTGAGCTAGCAATGTACGCGTGGAACAGATCCGACCAAAATCATAGGAGCAACGATGTGTTGTGTAAGGCAAGTGGAGTATTAGATCGAGCAGTCTGTATAGATTATGGACTCTCAAAACTAAAAGAAATTCAGACTGGGGCATCTAGGGAGACTTAGCTATCAAAAGGGTAATGGCAGATCGTAAAATGAACAACAAGTCGAAAGCTAGACTTGGTCATTAGGGGCTAGGATGGACGTCATTCCTTAGACCCGGCAGTTTGCCTCAGAACGTCACACAGGCGGCTGGGCATACACCGATTAACTTCGAAATTGCAAATAAGTTAATTACGCATCTGTATTCGCGAGTGTGAATTGGGCTCGAGCAAGAACTTGTGTAGTTCTTTTCGGCAAATCCTCTGAATACCCCAAGGGCAGCATGATCCATCCAGCACATGCCCAAGAGATAGTTTGATTCCAAGCAAGTGTAGCGTCGGCAGATACCATAGATGCCTTAAACGATTCCCTTGGCCAATGTTCACTAGAGATCATACGTCAGAAGATGACTCGCAACTTTAACCGAGAAGGGACAGGGGAACCAACCTTGCACTTTGATTTGGGAGGCACAGGCCTGACAGTCATGAAAAGAGCATTGTTTTTCCGAAGTTGATAGCCAACCGATATCTGGCCTGGGCCATCCACCTTTCTGTTGCATTCCTTGCATCTCGACTGAGTGTCCTTGAAATGAGGCAACCCCATGAACATCATCTTTTCAGCAACTCGCATCTGAGTTGAATACTTCTCCTGTGGTATATAAAATGACGCGTACATCGGGGGCGATGGATTGTGCTTTAAACTTGATCAGTATTGATAAAACAGTCCAGATTTTGACCAGTGTTTCATGCTCTGAGACATATCTAGAGATACAAGTCGAGACAAGGGTGGTGACGAACCTGAAGTGCTTCGGTGTATGGCGTATGCAATGATTGCGAAAACAGGGTTGGAAGTCTATGTCTCGATCAGGGGCTCGAATGTGTTCTTCGTGGAGACGTCAGAATTCTGTAGAGGGGACGTGTGATGTGATCCGGGAGTTGAGGGGGGTTGAGTTCATATCGGGCGAGCCATGAGCAACCTGCCGATGGAAATTTCAGATGAGAAACCTGTACGCATACACAAGTAACCATCATTATTCAGATCTAACAACGTGATTTAATTTCCAGTACTTGTGAACTTCCGGTCTTCTTGTCGTCGGAAGACACCACCCTGAGGTCTTGGAGGTGGTTCGCCCTGGCAGCATTTTGATTTTTCATTACTGCACATGATACCACACTTTCTCCCTGCCTCCTGGTGCTTGGGCTGAGCTATTCTCCAATAATTCAAACTGCTCCGAAGAAGTCATAGTCAACGCCCCGTGGCGAAATGTGTCTTTGTGCAACAAAGGAGATACAGAAGGGAAGGGAAACAGAACGACCGTTGGTCCTACAGTTTCTCATAAGGGAGAAATTCCTACCGAAGAAAGCACCTCAACGGCCTTGTGCCACGTTGCTGCTTCCCTCCGTCTATTTCGTTCGATCTAACCAGTGATCATACCAACTGCCGATGACTTGGGAAAGAAGATTTTCATAGATTCGGTCCGATGAAGACGCCCTGAGATGGCACCAGAGCATGTGGTCTGATCTGCCTATTGCCGAGGCGATATGGTCACACAATCGGCTATGCAGAAGATTGCTTGGTTAGTAGTTCCTGGGATTCGATGGATATGCTTAGGTGAGCATTCCATAACCCCTGACAGCTCAAAGTGGGATCTCAAACTGGCAGATCTTGCGAAGATGTGGAGGAAGGACAATGTGCAAGGGTCAAGGTCATATTTAAATGCTTCGACACCCGCTCTCGAGATATGTCGCTGAGATGGACGCAGCTGAGAGACAGGTGACGGCGGGCCCGATTGTTGTCAATCATCAATGAGTCAATGTAGGGATGGTGTCGGTTCAGGTAAGAAGCCTCGTTATTATGTCCTATGCTGCGTTTGTGTATGACTGACGAATTGGAAGCAGTGCTTGCGAGTGAAGGCATCGACGATCGTTTGGTGGCTCAAGAAATCAGATTGCCTGCGTTGATGAGTACCTGTCCTTTCATAGACGGTTAGGCGTCAAGCTTGTACCTCGATTGGGTCTGGGCGAACCATGGCTACCCATTTGGTCTGATGTCCTTGGTTCAACTCAAGCCACCTCGCATGGTGAAGTGTCGTCTTACTCTCGCCATGATCATACCATGATCGCTGCCTTGGTCGTGCTCCAGAAGCCGACGCCGTCACTACATTTTGTCATCAGACTTGTTTCGAAGGATGGCTGATAGCTAGCGCGAGCCTGTTGTATTCAGACTGAAGCTGTCGTGGCTCCCGCCGAGTCTATCAGCACAGGTATCTATGTTGGTCAGCCGTCAGGTGAGTTTGTACTATCAGACTATCAGTCATGATGCGCGTCAGCTAATCAGATGTGAGAACAAACGAGACTGACGTGACAAAGTATAGAATGTCCGTCATTTGGTGATCCAAGCGGAATCGCTATCTGCGTTGGTGTTTGTCTACCAAGTACGAACATCTCCAAAGCGCTGTCACACGGAGTAGCGCAAGTTCATGCGCGTTAGTGCAACGGGTTTGTGCAGCGCTTGAAACGATCATATGATATCGGCAGTTGTTTTGTTGGATCCAGCGAGTGTTGTTAGTTGCGAGATCAAAAATCACAAAAAGATGTTGCGTTCTAGGGGGAAGGCGGCAAGATGCATGAGGCGACAAAGTGGGACTGAAGTTCGGCAGGAGCCAAGGAAGCAGACGGGAGCTTGTTGGGGGAAGTGGATAGCGCATTTTGACTGACTACCTACCTTAGAAGGCCCCTGAAAATGGTTGGTTCTTCTTGCCTTAGCAAATATCAAAAACACATTCTTCATCTCCTCTCCCAACGACTGCCTGTGACCACTTTCACTGCCTAAACTCGCACAACAACAACAATAACATCATGTTTCAAGTAAGGCTTTCTCTAGATTGCAAAGAGTGCGTGGCAAGCATGTCGGGAGTTCCATTAACAAACATCACAGAATCGACCGATTTCCTTCTGCGACGTCTACAGGCGCCCTTTGCCATCGATCAAATATCGAATTTCGTTTTCTATCATTCTAGCTCCATCTGTCCATCAGATTCCTATATCATGAGAACAAGATGAAGCGTTGAGAGCCTCAGGCAAGCAGTACAAGCATCAGTTGCTTCGTAAATTCTCCGATATTGTGACATGTTTGTAAACTGAAGCACAAGAGTAACTGGCCCATTGCTATTACGACATACCAACAAGAGATTCTGACAGAAATAGATCTCCATGAGAGCAAGTCGACATGAGACCTTGTGTCTAGCGCTCAGGACGCCTTATGACAAATACTGCACTTGTTTTACGACCGCAAGACACCTTGGCCAGTTACATGGTTGCCTTGCTGGTATGGAATCTGCGCGCTGCAAACAACCTGTGACGAACACCGGCCATATCTCTCAAGATCAAAGAACGACTGATACTAGCCATCTCTCAGCGGGTACAGAGCTTGAGATAGCAAAGTCATTCAACTCAAGTGATCAAGCTACGACATTATTCGCTACACGAGCACAATCACAGTCACAGCATGCAGAACTATGAGGCTCAAGGCATGAAGTTTGGACCCCCATCCTTTCTGTTTGGCGGTTGCCTCATACACTTCAGTGCTGTCTGGTATGGAGAAAGAGTTGACTACCAAGAAGGAGGGTGGTGCCGATATCAGTACTTGAGTGCAGTCAGACAAGGAGCGAATGTTGAAAGGTCGATGCTGTGGATTGACTCCGAAGCCTCCTAAGTTTGCAATTGCTGAGAACTTAACTAGCGATGATTGCTGGGCGAACTTCCATCAACCCACCAAGGGAGCTTTGGTTGACGAGTCTCAACCGTGATCTTTCATGGCGTCGACTCGTGGCTGGTTTCTTTTGACAAAGTTAAGTTACCATGGATTCTGATACTGCGCCTCATTATCTATCACAACGGGCAGAGGGAGCCAAGGTGTACAGGCAGGCAACATTTGTGTCCTTGGCTCCCGGGGTATTACAATACCAAGCATACTATGGAATTTCAGCCTGTGTGTAACTCCTTTCAACATAGCTACACGAAAGGAACTGGATTAAGCCTCTAGCGAATCTGCCTGATTTCGGCTAATTCGTGCCTTGACCTCAGTCAGTGTCGAGGATTTGGGAGGGCGCTGAGCCCAGAGCTATATAGGATGGATAAGTCCCCCCGAGATACAGTTGTCAAAACTCACAATTTGACGAATTCGACTAAGTAGGTTCCCATATTGGTCAAACTGAACTTCTTTGGATCATCGACATATCTCGGTATACTGTTACCTTGGCAAGTATATATCTTGTCAAGCATCTACTATTCCCACTCTACATCTACAACGCTGGCAATCCTGCATACCAGTACCAAATCTCTCATCATGGGCAGCAATGGCAGAAGCAATAAGAGCCGGAGCAGTAGGAGCAGTAAAAGAGCTCCCGCTGAATGCAGTGTACCTAAGTGCGATCGCCCAGTAGGGGTTTACAGCAATGGCAAGGACGCAGAATATTGCAAACCCCGTGAGCGTGTCCTTGAAGTCTTATCGAAGTCAATTACTTACCGTGCCTCAGATTCTTGCGCATTTGGATCCGGTTGTAATACTCGCACGGGCTCAAAAGATAAGTTCTGCGACAACCGTGAGTAGCCTTTTATCCTCTTCCCCCCCCTTTCCCCCCAGCAAGATGGCTGACTCCTCTCAAGACGCTAAGTGCGCTTGGCTTAAATGCAGTACGAAACTCTTAGATGTCGAAGGAGATGACTTTAAATACTCTAATATTGGTCACGGCCCTTGGCTCTGTCGCGATCGTAAGTCACTTATCCCAAGCCGAGTCCCAAACGCAAATGCTGATGTTCCCAGACTCATGTAAGGCGAAAGTCAAAGACAAGCAGTGCTATGAGGAACGCGACAAGAACTCTCAGTACTGCAAAGAGCACTCCAAAGAGTTCCAGTGCAAGATGCCGAAATGCGACTCCGACCGGGATGGTTCTGAACGGTACTGTAAGAAACATCATTGTGAAGTGGACGACTGCCACCGTCGAACTCTCACCTTAACAGATGGTGAAATGTCGGGTCGAGACAAGAAAAAGTGCTATCAGCATCAACACTGTGAAGCCTCGAGAGACTGCAAGAATTACTCTCAGTGGGATTCCAACAAAACTCCAACCAGGCTCTGTGCGAACCATTCCAAATGCGAGTTCTTCCAGGGCTGCAACGGCTTTGTCCAAGGGGATTCGAAATTCTGTACTGATCATGAGTGCGATCAACAATGCTGCCTGCAGCCTCGAGATGCTCATAACGGTCTGGTTATGAGATGGTGTCATATGCGTAGGTATTTGCTTTCCAGGTCTTTACAAAGCTAACAATCCAATGTAGACTTATGCTCCGCACCTGGATGCCCTGACTTTGCCAACGGACATGGTCACGCCTACCCCCAGAAATGCTTCCGACATACTTGTCAAAGAGGAGACTGTTCAGAAATCGTCCAGGACAGCAATCCCAACTCTCATTTCTGCCAAACTCATGCCTGCGCCGACCCTGCATGTACTTGTGAGTCAACAATACCTGGTGGATATTGCGTTTCTCATGGATGCACCACCCCAGGCTGCCGTGCCCCCCGAGAACGCGGTTCTCCATTCTTCCCCTACCTTTGCACGCGTCATGGGGGAGCGAGAGAGGAACAAGAGAGTTACTATTATCCTTCCACTGCTCGTTCTCGAACAACATCTCGCTCGGGGAGTAGGACTAGTAGTCATGACTCCCGGCGCATTCCGAGGACATTTCGCCAACAGCATTACCATTACCCAACATATCAGGATCCGGTTCAGGCCTCAGAAGCTGATCGTCGATATGAATCGTATGATAACGTAGATGATCATTACCAGAGGATGCCAAGATCAAGTTGGTACGATTGACCGGTTTAGGGTCTTAGACACGATGGGGAACGGGAGGAAAGAGTTTGGTACTAGATCTGACAAGGCGCATACGTCACGGGTCATCAACAGCACATGGGATCGCGGTTACATTGCATTCTGTTTCCTGAAGGGGGGTTATAACTTGCACACGCCTAGATAGATAGACAGATACAGCTGGGCCTAATGGGTTCGAGACCTAACCATCTGGTTCACAAGGCTCGAGGTGAGGAGGCAGCGGGGAAGCCGTGTGGTACAGCATATACTCGACAAGACCCCAGTAGATGTCAGATATTCTTGTATTTAAGCATAGTTATTTATGTCTTGATAAGCTATTGATCCCTGCTGAAATGTGATGAAGCTTGCCGAGTGTAACACGGGACAGTTTGGGGTGAGTCCTGAATAGGTAGGTGAAAGAACAGCGAGGGGAGAAGAAGGGGAGGCGTTTGTTGAGTCGTGTCCATAACCCCACTTCTAATACAGGTTGTTTCTGGATAGCTTCTTATGGGGATACCTGCTGTTCCTCCATGGATGCCCTTGTTCTCCATGTTTGCGTCGTTTGGGCATGACGTTCTTGTGTTCGGTGGGATGAGTTGAGTCATCTGCCTTGTCGCTCAGGCTTTCCTCGCCATCGGATTTATTATCATCGTTGCTTTCGTCGTCAGAACCGATCACTTGCTGGCTGTGGGTGGCCCCCTGACTGGGCTTAGGGGTGGGAGTTGAGGTATGGCTGCGATTGGCCCTCTGCTTGCCCTGAGGTGTCGGAGTTGAGGATGAGGGTGTGGCAGTGCCAGTGGAATGCATCATCCTGTAGTTACATATTTTGGGCTTTTTAGGCGGCATCGTTCAAATACGATTAGTGCACGCTGCAATGCCGAATCGCTGACGTCTGGGTATCACGTCGACCATCTAGCCATTCGACCCGAGCCTAGATTATATCCGCTGACTTGGTAGCATCTCAATAATTGCTTTTTTCGCAGCTCCCCCTGGTACGCCAGATGACATCCTTTTCCCCTGTATTCTCCTCCGACACCTTCTCGAAGTTCACATCCGAGGGCTTGGCTTGTTTGTAGGAGATCGCATCAGGCTTCTTAAACACACGTGGTCGTATCTTGGCCCCGCAGATACAGCCGATTATCTTCCCGTTGCCGTCACAGATAAATTTGTGGTAGCTGGTGTTTTGGGTTCGAGGACGGTATATATGGGTTTGGAATCCAGGGAAGGTGGTCATTATATACATGGTGTTGGGAAATCGAGATAACTGATGTCGTAGTGGTTTATGAAGATAAGGTGGCCAAGATGAAAGAGCTTTTTATGTAGGAAATGGAAGTATTTATACCTGTTTACGAATTTATAAGCATTTGGTATGAAAGTTTGGTGATTTGACTTTATCGTGAATTCTTTGTAGGACCGGTGTATAGAAAAGGATCCTCATGAAAGCTTAAAAGATATGATGATGCCACTGTACCAATGGACTTATCAGAATGAATAGATAAAGTTTCATGTCCAATATAACACGCAAGCATATGATTAGATAGCTGCAGGAAATGTGTTGGTTGCAAGGCTTATATTTGGCCACCTAGCAAACACTTCGCAAAGCAACTTCAAGCCTGACATAAAATACCCAATGCCAGCACAACAAGTGTCATAACCTCTAAGTTTTCAGTTTGCCCTTGGGTTCCCATTTACGTCAAATGGCCCTTTGTATACATTACAAAGAATGAAGTAGGGGGTAAACGCCTAAAGCTACTCAAGTTACCGTTTGGCTTACCACCTCTTCTCGTGCTACGAAATGTTTGACTTTTGGAAACTTCCAAGTATTCTACAGGCATCCGCATGTTGCACTTAAAGTTCATCCACATGTGTATCGATATGATTTGATACCTGACATGGAGTTTTTGTAAACTGCCCCCTCCAAGACTCGTGGTTCTATGTCCCGGTCTTCACGGTTTTCCAATACAACCCGCACCTACGTCTTTTGCCAAAATCGCAGGAGAGGAAGAGCATCTATCGAATAGACTCACTAGTAGAACCCCAAATTTTTTCTTGATAAAGTTTCCGTGCTCCAGTATAGGAAGAACCGCCGTTAAAGGCAATCAGACGTCAACTTCAGTTTGACATACCCTAGACTCTGGCCCATGAAAAAGATAGCGGGGACAGTGGTTTCAAGGCATTTTCCTCTATCGACCGCCACCATCATCAGGTACGAATGACTTTAGACGAACATCTTACTCTGCCAATACAGAATAGAGTTCAGTCAATCTCCGATCGAACCATCCCTCCAAAGCACGATCCATCCAAGACCGATAAATTCACATGCACCTCCCGAAAGCCCGGGACTCTTTGAGTGGAGCAGCCCGGCTTTCCCCCGATCCGAGAAGTTGGACGAACAAGCCCGTTTCAGCTCCGCCAAGAACGATCAAGCCAAGCAATATTAATCAATGCTATACATATAAAACAGCGATAAGTCGTCTAAATACGGGGGTATTATCGAACTTTTCACAAGGCCAGTGTAGTAGTATGGCTGTTTTGCGTGCAGGTTTTACCAACGTCACATCCCGGTATCGTCCCAGATCTGAGACAGATCTCAAAACAGGCTGGAGCTGACCGGCCAAACATTTGATGGCCAAGAAAAGAAACGGTCTTGCGGAATATAGAGAGAGAGAGAGAGACCAAGTGAGAGGAGGGAAATAGAGTTTATAATAAATGGCTGTGACAATGTGAATGGCCTCATCATCAGCTCGCAACTAAAAGCTGTGATCAAGACGGCGCGCGCTTAAGGAATATCCTCAATTGGTCCCCGCGTTGCAGAGTCGCAGATGTTTCAACCAACGAGACGCATCCGCGACCGGGTCGTCTTGGCCCCGTCCTCAGTGAATCGCAGCCCTGAGACTCCCATTGGCTGCAGCTGTGATGGGTGGTATAACCCCTGTAGGGTCTCATGCGACATGTTCCTCTCTTTTGTCAGAGCCATTCGCTCTTAGGTTCTTCAAAGAACGAGCTTGCGTCTTTGCTGAAAAATCTCTCTTTATTCTTTTCTCTTCCTCGCTGGCGAGTGACTTAATAACCCTTACCATTTTAATTCGAAGGATTTTGCTGCAACTCAACCTCCACCACTTGAACCCACCCACTCACTCATACTAAAACCCACACATACTTGCATACAACACACCACTTACATCCCTCACAATGGGTAACAATCTCTCCTCAACCTTCGTCCCCGACACTTCCAAGGACATCCTCAGTCCTCAAGATCGACATGCGGACATGTTCCTCGGCATCTTCTGGGCATCGTCGCTCTACGCTTGCGCCATGATCTTCAGCACCTGCGCTCTGATCGACCGATGGAAGGGTCCCTACGATCGCGTTAGAATGTCATTTGGTTCAGTTATGGGAGCCTTGCTATTATCGACGGCGTGGCCTGTTGTCATGGCATACTTGCTCTTTTCGCCGGCTGATGTCTGATGAGCGGAGGAACTATTGGGTTACGGCCTTGGGAATGAGTCCTTGGAAAGGGTTTGGTTGGGTTGGAATTGGGCGATTGGCGTCTTTGACAGTTGTGGTGGAAACGGCATTACGGTCAGACCTGGAGTTTGAATGCATACCACGGCGATATACCATCTAATACATTTTTTTCTATGTTTATCATATTTGATCGACTCATCTTGCTCTATGGCTGATGATCCCACCTCTGTGAACAGAGTTCCTTATCACCCCATACAAGTCTCAAAATAGCACCCTCAGTTATCCGTTAACATTTAACCCACCAGAGTATTTCGTCGACTCCTATCCGACCGCGCATCCTTTCTTCCAATGATAGTCTCAAGCGCCTGAGTCAAAGCCTTGGCATCATATCGTCCACCTCTTCCCTTCTCATCCTTGGGACCATACAACCTCGTCGCATCGATACCCAACTGTGTAAACAGTGGTTTATCTACCTTCGGCGAGGTCTGTCCTTCGATGTAAATGACATGCGACACATATTGGCTGTACTCCTCCTCCATAGGTTTGGGCAGACCTCTTGAATCAGCGAGCGCATTTGCGATAGCTCCAACAAAGTCTAACCCTGTGAAAGGCGCCGTTGAAGGACCGGTCTCGCGATCGGTTGTGCCGTTGAGAATGAGGATCTTATTGCGCACTTGCGGATTGACGATGGCATCACCAACGCCGCGGAGGACAAGACTTGGGATTAATGATGTGAAGAGGGAGCCGATGCTGTACACTACGCTGTGAACAGATCGAAGGGCGTCGAGGACTCTTGGATTGGCGGGCATCTTGATCTCCTCGCCATATGGGTTGATGTACCATACTCGCGCAATCCTTGCGGGTAGGTCTTCTTCTTGCTCTTTGGAGAAGGCAATGGCTGGTCGGCGCAATGCAGGTAGCGTTCCTGGTAGATTCGCGTCTTCAACATGGTGATGGTCTTGATCCCATGTTTGCTCCTGTCGTGATACCGTTGGGCTGTGAACACCAGCTGATGCTCCAGGCACAGCGGCGGTTGGAGCGCTGGGATGCGAGATGTCGTTCTGGCCTGTGATTATCGTGCCATCTTCAAGGCCAGCGGCGATATGGCTAGCAAAGTTGGTGTTGAGGGCTGGAAGGACTGCTATTCTATCTGGCACTGAACATATTGAGCTTAACAGGTAGATGGCAGCTTCGAAACTACCGGTGAAGAGACGGGCACCTGTGAGGAAGAGGTTTCCAATGCTAGCCCCGGAATAGTCAAAGCGACTGCTGGGTTTCATGCGCTTGACAACCTCGAGATTGAAGCTATTCAGATAAGATCTGATGAGTTCTCTCTTGGGCGATGAGATGTCATTCCAGAGAGGGTGCGTCGCTTCTAGAATCTCAAACCATTCTGATCTTGCCGCAGTGTAGACTTTTGGCAAGCGATGATTGAAGAAGTGCTTGATAGCTCTCGTCTCAGAACCTCCATCATTCGGAATAAGACGAACAAGTCGGGACCTCACATCTCCGATACCTAGATAACCCTGTCAGTCAACACTAAGCCCATACACAGCATATAGAAGAGCCACGTGGAAATGGGAACGTAACATACCAGGTCCACCAAAGACACGAATGATCTCACTACTGCTACCGCCATTGTCAGAAATGGGTATCACGTAGCTCAGCGTGCACTGATTCGCTTCTCGAACGCTCTCGAAGACATCGACGAGGTTGTTAGCGGCGCTACCACCTGAGAAGACCACTATGCCCGTCGGTGGTGCCGCTGGAGTGAGGGGCCGGCGAGGGGTCGGCGGTGCTGAGGATCCACTGGAGCTTGGGAGCTGTAGACCAAGGCCATTAAGGTTGATCTGTGCCTTTGCCATTGATTGGGTGGGTAGTCGGGGGAATTATGTGATTTCTGCTTTCTGGCGCAGAATGGGGACGGATTGAGAATCTGGAGATGGTGTTGATGATGACAGATGACGGCTAGCGGGGCATTCTCGATTGTACAGCAAAGCCCCGGTAACGTTATTGCTTCATGACCCAATTATTTCCAATTGCGACGGGTTTGCAGCTGATAATGTGTTCCAATTGATGAAGTTCTTACTTCAATCTTACAGTGGCCGTAGTATTTTCGATCCGATACAAGGCTGTTACTACCATGTTCCAAACTCACTTACTCACTCATGCATATGCTCAATTGCTGCATGAAACCCACGAGTCATGCAACAACGTGGCACACCCTCCAATGACTTTTGCACACTCCAACATCAACGTCAACATCAACATCACCAAAAGCGGTAACCCCCCGAGCAACCGCCGGCTCATAACTCTCGAACCGGGACCAAGAAGCTTTGACACTTCGGATCCGTGTGGGTACAGCGCGGGCAATGGACCGCAAAAGAGAAAGAAAAAAAACATGATGGCTTCATTATCTACAGAAACAAGTGGAACTCGGAACTCTTAGTCCCAAGCCCGTCATTGGCTCCCATGGCCCGGCAGTTGAAGCTTTGCCACAACTGGAGAAGAGCTATCACGGCAAAACGTCAAGAGTTACGTCAGTGATGGATGATGGTATGGATCGCAAGGCTGGAGGATGGGTTACAAATCTCATGCACAGACGTTGGTTCCTTACAAATCTGCATGTTTCGAGAATTACCTTAATGGTTTCTTTTTAAAGATTTTTCTTATTATCTGATCGATTGGCAAGTATATATAGACGAGATCAAGCGTCGTTGTTAGTCGGTATCATCATCATACTCATACAATTCGACCCTTACACAATACTTCACAATGGCTCAATCTATTCCCAAGACTGTCAAGCAATGGACCATCCCCTCCCGTGATGGCAAGGACTTTAGCGGTCTGAAGTTCAGCGAGGAGTCTGTTCCCGAGCTCGGTGACGGCCAAGTCCTCGTCAAGAGTAAGTCCCAAGTTCACATCATCACACTTCACCACAATCTTCTAACACTTACTTCGCAGTCCAGGGTGCTTCCCTCAACTACCGCGATCTCATCCTCCCTCTCGGAAAGTACCCCTTCCCCGCCAAGGACGGCGTCGTCCCCGGCTCCGATGGCGCCGGCACTGTCCTCGCCGTCGGCAAGAACGTCACCCGCTTCCGTCCCGGCGACAAGGTCGTCACTCTCTTCAACCAGGGCCACATCGGCGGATCTCTCGACCAGCTCAGCATCCAGACCGGTCTCGGTGGTGTAACTGACGGAACTTTCCGCACCATTGGTGCCTTTGATGAGCACGGTCTTGTCCCCATGCCCTCCAACCTCGACTTCCATGAGGCTGCAACTCTCACCTGCGCTGGTCTCACTGCCTGGAACGGTCTGTACGGTCTCGAGGGCAAGAAGCTCCTCCCTGGCCAGTGGGTTCTTACCCAGGGTACTGGTGGTGTCAGTATCTTTGCTGTTCAGTTCGCCAAGGCTGCTGGTGCCAAGGTCATCGCTACTACCAGCTCTGCTGAGAAGGCTAAGCTTCTTGAGAAGCTTGGTGCTGACCACATCATCAACTACCGCGAGACTCCTGAATGGGGAGCCAAGGCCAAGGAGCTCACCGGCGGTGCTGGTGTCGACCATGTCATCGAGGTTGCTGGCCCTGCATCCATGAAGCAGTCCCTCAACGCTATCAAGATCGACGGTGTCATCTCCATCATCGGCTTCGTTGGCGGTACTGGCAAGAACGACCCTGGTTTCCTCGACTGCCTTTCCAACCTCTGCACTACCCGAGGTCTCCTTGTTGGAAGCCGTGCTCAGATGGAAGATATGTGCCGTGCTGTTGAGGCCAACCCTGATAAGCTTCGACCTGTTGTTGACCCTAAGATCTTCTCTCTGGAGCAGCTCCGCGAGGCTTATGAGTACCAGTGGTCTGGCAAGCACCAGGGCAAGGTCTGCGTCAAGATTGAGTAAGCGATGATTTATGAGAATATAATGCCGGGATACATGTGTCTCTGGCTTTAACTTATGATACATAGAATTAATAGATACCACCTTTTTCGCATGACCAAGTTTCGTCCATCTCGGCAAGATTGTTTGATTAGACACCGACAAGCCTCTTTTAACTACCCACAACCTTATCTCAGAAGTTCAGCGAGTACATCAATATCTCTCAATTGATTTCAAGTAATTACATTCCATTGGACAGTCAAGCGTGTCACACACAGCTCACCTACTAAAACTGTTTGCTCAGTCCTCCAACCATATCCGTTCATCCCAGGCCATCACTCTAATGAAAGAAGCAGCCTATTCCATTCTCGCGACAAAGAAAACGCCTCTGTCTCAAAAGATGAGTGCAGCGATACCAGCCAAAACACCAACCAAACTGAACTTCTTCGACGATCCTTCATTGACGATAACCGTGCTGGGCGTGGGGTATGGTGTTCCAGGCACGGGAACCGGCGTAGCAGGGCTCGGGACAACAGGAGGAACAGAGGCAGTATCAACGGGAGGAGGAACAATAACAGCAGTCGAAGATCCCTCCAAGATAGGAGACTGAGTCTCCGCGCCGCCTCCACCCTGAACAATAGTAGTCGTATCGGCACGAGTAGTACCACCGCCTTCGCCATTGCAGACACTGCCTTTAGGACAGCATCCGTACTGCTGGTTCGACCCGACTTCGCAGTAAGCTGTAGGAGGGCATCCGCCTGCCTTGCTAGGACAGCATGTCCAGTCGGTCTGGATGCAGCCGGTGCCGCAGTCCTTGAGGTTCTGGTCGGCGCAGGGAACCTCTACGACTTGACGGACTGCGAGGAGGGGAAAGCTGGGGGAGTATTGGACGGCGAGAACGCCGGTGGCTGAGAGGGCGACGAGCAAGAACTTCTTCATCTTTATGAAGTTGGAGTTGGAGTTGTATGTGTTGAAGCGAGAGGTTGGTGATGTTGCAACGAGTGACGATGTTGGTGAAACTGTATCTGTTTGAGAGTGTGAGGAGAGGTGAAGGAAGAGAAATGCGAGACATACCAAGCCCTCGAGGGTTTATATGCATACCATTCTCAGGCTCCCAACGAAAAACTTTGCCTTTCGATCGTCTCTCTTCATTGTCGTTCCTCTCTGATGCCGCGTGCGGCGGCTTCGCTCAAAAACGCCAAAGACATTCCAGCCACGATGCATCTACTCCACCACCCGCAACCATCTACTCCCCCCAACATCATTTCCAATTCCTACAAAGTGTCAAGCCTCTTTTTCTCTCGCAGCGTCGGCTATTTTTGAAGATGTTGCTGCAGTGACCAAGTGCCTCTTCTTGATGCGCCCGGCGTTTTGCAGCTTTGAAGATAGCCGCCTCCGGTTTTTGCGGCGCATGGCTTGATATTCAGGGCATATTACCAGAATCTGTTATTTTGTGACGGTCGGCGTTCGAGATTTCAAGATGAGATGTTTCGGAAGAGTTTATTGTGCCAAGACTAGTGAGGGGAGTAGTTGATGTCATTGGAGATCGGCCAGGAACAAACGCGGCTTTGATCTCGCACTGGCAAAGGGCTGAACGAAATAAGGATCTAGATCTAAGACAAAATATTGGCCGGGCTACCCCAAGCATCTTCCAGAAATTCCCGAACGGTAATAGGCTTGATATTAGGAAAGTCCTTGTTCAGAGCCTTGCTCTCATCCAAGTTGAAACCACCGCTCTCTGCCAACAAACCATAGGCAGACATGACCTTTTTCATGACGGCCTTGGGTGCAGGAATATTGGCAAACATCGCCTCATGGCCTGGCAGCTCACTCAACTCTCCCTTCTCCAGCGTCTCAACACTATCATAAACAACCTTAAACTTGTCGCCTACGAAAATTAGCATCCCGAGCTTGAGCCATAAAGCTTGTCACGTACCTGTCGCTTCTTCGGCAATCTTGACCAGCTCGTTGAATGTGACTTTATCACCAATGCTATACGTAGCTTCATCCCATTTGTCAAGGTTGAGAAGTGCAGCAACAAACTTGGCTACATCTCTACTATACGTAAACGTGACAGGTACGTCTCCAGATCCTGGAATAGCAGCGGCTCGATGTTTGATATCAACAAAGGTTGAAGGAGTGTGCAGGTTTGATTTCGCAGCTGATTTGGAGGAGCCCCAGAAATCAAGAAAGAAGCCGATATGGATCGATGTCCATTCGAGGTTTGTCTTGCGTAGCTCGTCTTGAGCACGGAGTCTGTTGTTTGCTGAGTTAGCCGAGCTACTCCGTCCTAAGTCCTTGCTTAAGCCTTAAACGCATTGGGAAATTGTGTTGGCCGCCAATGCTTGGTCGAATTCCAGTGAATGTCTGAGATCGAGACTTGTGTTCGGATAGAGTTTCAGGGCCGGGAGGTCCAGATCTGGTCGATCCGCACGCTAAGGAAAGTAAGTTATTTTGACCAGGGCCAGGAACGAGATATGCCGTTGTTGTTCAACCCCTGGGCGCTTCCGCCACTTGAAGCTGAGCCTGGAGTATGAAACTTGGGAATACTTTTGGATATGGCATCTTGTATCACTCAGTCTCAAGGGCGGTTAATACGGTCTTCTTTCTGTTTATTTATGTATGAGAATTGGCGCAGTTTGTTGTTATAGGGTAAAGTTTCTGACTGGAATGTCTCATTTCGGGTAGATTTACTGACCACCACCAGATCGCAGTAGCTGCTTTCGTCATCAAGGAAGCGAGATTGTCTCGGGAACATCGAGTAGTGTGATATTGGTCAAAGACCCATTTCTTAACCGAGTCTTATCGACCTTATCTTGGAGCCCGAAGATATCGAAGCCAACTAAGCGTTTGCTCAAGACTCAAGACCAGTGAATTGCTCAACATTGGAGAAACTTGACTGGAATGACTCAGAGATGGGAAGCAACAGACCTTCAGCAGATCCAAGACCTCGAGCGTAAGCATATAACTCCCCGCCCGTACTTGCATCCGACTGATACATGCTAAGTAAGGTAGGCATGGTTCACCCTTGTGGCTCTGGTGCCTTTGGGTACTTCGAGTGTACCCAGGATATATCTGAACTCACTTGAAGTCGAAACCACGGGGAACTCGCGTTAACAGCCAACTTACCAACCTCCTAGAAAGCCAAATTCTTGTCATCTGTCGGAGAAAAGACACCTGTCTTTGTCAGATTCTCTACTGTAACTCTTCGCCGAGAGTTCCCAGACGAGGCTCGTAACCGTCGAGGGTTCACCTCAAACTCTACACAATAGAGGGTAAATATGACATCGTCGGCCCAAAATTAGTCCCTCGCATCACCTATACTCCTCACATGCCATACTGACCCCATTTCAGCCCGTCTTCTTCTGCCGCGACCCCATCCAGGGACCAGACGTCATTCGCTCTCAATCCTGCAAACCAACAAACTTCCTCCTCGATCACGACGCCCTCCTCGACCTCCTCGCCAACACCCCAGAAGCTGACAATGCAGGTCTCATGTTCTTCAGCGATCACGGAACTCCCCAAGGGTGGCGCTTTAACCATAGCTACGGCTGCCACACCTTCAAGTAGGTAGACTCCAACGGAGAGTTTGTCTACATCAAATACCACTTCATCGCAAAGCACGGTCAGAAGAAGCTCACTGACAGTAAAGCTATGCAAATGTGTGGTGAGGATCCTGATCACTCCAAGAGAGATCTCTGGGAGGTTATCGAGAAGGGGGATGAGATTGAGTAGGCAGCTTATGTTCAGTCCATGGATTCTAGACAAGCGGATCTTGATAAACTCGGGCTTGATCTTTTTGATGTCACAAAGGTTTGGCTGCGATCGCAATTCCTGATGAAGGAGTCTGGAAGATTGGTGCTTGACAAAAACCCGGAGAACTTCCATCGTGATGTGGGACAGGCTGCTTTTCGGCTGGTAGCATGTTTCCCGGTATTGAAGACTCGCCTAGATCTGTGGGCGAGGGTTATGAGAGAGCAGGAGAAGAAGAACACTTGCTAAAACACAGCCAAGGGTCTTTGCCGCATCAAGCTTCTCGAGATCTAGGTAAGCAATCAAGCTGTTTCGAACAAGACTTGAAACTGGCAGAAGCATAGAGAAAGTACTTGGCGCAGGTTTATAAAATCTCAGAGGACTATGCACAAGGCATTTTTCATCTTCTGGACCAACCTCAGTTCGAGTTCTCCAAGGTAAAAGAACTGGCTGAGACTGCGAGGAGTGGTATAAGGAGCCCAACTTTAGGCCTGGTACTGGAACGAAATTGACCGAATATCCTCTGTCTTCAGCTGTTTATCAGGCATAAGTGACATATCGAACATGTTGGGTAATTGAATTAGGCTCTTGCTTAGACAATGTCGTGATTTCCAGATACAATGCTGTACTCATCTGCCGATTTCCGTTTGTGACTTTCTAGCCTGAATCCTTCATGTAACCCTGTAGAATTTTAAGTTTGTACTTTCGATTTATCCGTTCAAAACATCATGAGACGATCCCAGAATGGAGTCGTGAGCGCAGTCTATGATGCTGACAATATGCAGAATCCTGGACCAGAAATGGGGATAAGCGGTGATAAAGAAGCGGAATGAGTGCCATGGCCTGTGATAAACCCGGGTCAAAAGCGAAAACGCGCGAAGGATTCAAGTACATCAGCATGAAGACAAACTCATTCAGTCGTATCCAAGTATATGTTGGGCCTCTAGACTCAGGATACACAGCCCCAATTCATTCTCGTAAATTTACAAACATTCACAATCATGGCCCCAACAGACGCAGAGATCAAGGCCACTATCAAGGCCGTGGTCGACGACTTCAGGGGATGGGACCTTGCACCGATAATGCACTATCCAAATGAAGAAGGCCTCGAATTCGAAGATGTCTATTTCCCATCCGATGATGGCGTCCCTTTGGAAGGTTGGTTCATCCCCTGCAAGGGCTCCAACAAGATCATCATCGCCAACCATCCTCACTGGTTCAACCGCGCCGGTATCCCTTCGCATCTCGAACCTTGGAATCAGCTTATGCCTGGAAATGACTTTGAAGTAAGTTTCATTCCAGATTACAAGATTCTTCATGATGCAGGGTATAATGTCCTTGCGTATGATCTCAGGAATCATGGACTCAGTGGAAGTGGAAACCAAGGTCTCTTTGGCTTCTTTGAATGGCGCGATGTTCTTGGATCGTTAAAATATGTTCGTGGAAGGGATGATACGAAGTATATGACGATTGGACTATTTAGTCGCTGCGCCGGGGCAAACGCAACACTCTCGGCGATGAGACATCGCCCTGAAGCCTTCAAAGGCGTAAGATGCATGATTGCGCCGCAGCCTATATCAGCCGGCTCCTCCATCGCGGTGATGCTTGACAGAATGGGCGCTCCGGCATCGTACATGGAAGAAGCTGATCGACAATTCTTCATGAAGACGAGTTTTCATATAAGTCAATTGTCGCCGCCGACTGATGCGAAGCACGCCAATGTGCCGACGTTTCTGTACCAGGTCCGCGATGATCCATGCACGACGCCGAAGGATGTTCAGTCTGTTTATGATAATATTCCTATCCAGGACAAGAAGTTGAAGTGGATTGAGGGGACGGATAAGAGGTGGGATGGATATACGTACTTTCAGAGGGAGCCGGATCAGTTCTTGGAGTGGCTTGCAATGTACATGAACTAAGCATAGCATAATACAATTCCAGTTTCCTATCGCGCTTCGGTTATATTATTATAATGGCTCTATCAAACTAAAATCAAGGGGTATCGTATATAGTTATCCTGAATCAACAGATACGGTAACAGTTGTCTGTGAGTATCGAAACTTTCACCATCTCGTGGCATGCAGCTTTTGAAAAGCCAAGCCCAATTGCTTCATTGTCCTCATACCGTAAAGTGCTCCCTCTGTAGCTGCCGCGTTGACCCCGTATCGCTAGCCACATCGTCGTACTCAGATCTTCTCGCCTGCTTAACAACAACTTCCGTCCGTGTGGTCTTTTGAATGCCTCCCTCCAATCGATCTACCAGCTGTATATCGTCGGTATTCGCTTCGATAAACGTAGTGTTGCCGCCAACAAACATTGCCGATGGTATTTTGCTTTTCCCGGTCTGCTTGGAGCTCTTCTTTTGGGTGCTGTGGGATCTGGAACCGGAATAGTCGGGATAGTCGCTGTTGTTGCTGGCCTTGACTACTTTGATGATGAGGTCTGCCATGTTCATTTCGATGTGGAGTTTGACGAGGTATGCTAGAGGATGGAACTGAACGTAACTGTGATAGCGAGTTAGTAATGCTAAGAGGTTTGAGCTAGCATGACTTACACAATGTCGTTTGGCAGGGACATCATTGCGATAAGAAGGATCTGGTCAGAATTAGTATCTGCAGCAGCAGCTCAGGGGGCGATGGAAGCATACATCCATAGTCATCGACACAGCGATCATGCCCAAGTTGAAGCGAAACAGTCGAGTGTACTTGGTCAGGCCGTTCGCAATGAGCCTCGACCTCACAAGGTGGATAAAGTACAAATTGAGTCCTGCATCAACCAATAAAAAGATGACCTTCTCGATTCTGTCCCAGACTTTGTTGATGTCGATCCAAGTCTTGTTAACTTGAAGCCGAGCTGGGATCCAAATTGTGAATACACTGACGTTGACGCATAATATGATGAGAAAGGAGTATATCTTGAGTCGCTTTGCATTTTGTCGGTTGACCATGAGGATTGCGATTCGGTTGATGATGATTTGAATGAGTGCTTGAAGTTGGATACACCATAGGAAAACTACACACTGTTAGCCTCTGCTCTGGCAACGCCATGGACACCAGCACGATATGATACAAGTGGTATGACTTACTTAAAGTAAAGAAAACCGGAAACCCGCCGGGGATATAATTTCGTAGATAGCACCAAGTAACAGCGCTCATGATACAGCTGCTCGTCCATTCCAGCCATAACAGTATGATATAGTGATTCATCCTGCATCCTCGCCTCCATGATTTGATGGTTTGCTGTATTCCTTTGGTGAACGTGAACAGCCCGACTCCAAGCGAGATTCCCCAAGCGATACTCGCAATGTTCATGTCATTCTCGCCCGCATCGACCTCGACAAAGTTCGGTCCTTTCCACAAATCCCCCATGGCGACAACTGTGTGACTGAACTCGGGCGATTAGAAGCACTCAGCAAAGGATTTGAAAAGCGAAAGGACGGCAAGAATAGAAACGAGCGAGATAGTAAGCACACGATGGGAAGCCCACATACATAGCCAACACAACATCGCCGCTAAACATTCAGATCTTGCGGATCCTGATGCCTGCGCCCAACTAATAACGTTGATCCTATTGAAGGGTAAAAGGCACAGACGAAGCATCCATTCTCAGGATCCGCAGCGATCGATCTTCGGCAGGGGATCCCAGAGCATGAGCCGAGACTCGATCTCAGTCTGGCCTTTGGTTGGACGGCGGGTTGGAGGCTATCATCCAGAGGTCCTCAGGGCTGCATATCTGCTGGTGCTTTATATGGGGTTCGTGCATGGTTGGTAAGAGATAGACGAGTATGCTTTTGGAGTGTTTTGCGAGTCGTCTTCACGAAGAATGAAAACATTGCAGAAGATATTGACGCTGTCACGAAGTTAACTAAAGCTGAGATCAAGTCGCTTGACAGCCCTACGCGTGAAACAAACAGATGTTCCAGAAAACGTCTTGAGAAATGCTTCAGTGGTAGTACGCATCACGGATCATGGAGTGACACTCTTCTTCGAGTCAGGTAGGCCCCTGTCGCCGGCCGCATATTACCGCCAGGTCCTCGCCTTCTGTGAGAAAAGAAATATGCCGACTAGACGAGCTTGACACTATCGAATCTTGTGGTGAGTGGCAGGGAAGAGGTTGATGCTTTTGCGAAAATTGTCGGAGGGGTTGCTCGGTGAAGATCCGGGGCTGGTATGAGGAGCGAAGGAGCCCGATCATAATATCCATGCTAAATTTTTAACAGAACAGCAAATGGAGATTTTGTACTTTCAATGTTGGTCAAACAAGGTGGTTCCTTGATGCAGATAGATCATTCTTCCAGGCCATAATCTACAGCGGGTCTCTCCTGGTGAAGAAACTTGTGCAAAAGCAAAACAGCAGATCCAATCTCGCACAAATGAGCTCTCACAACTGACCAGATCTCGTCTCATCTCTGTTCCCAGCTCCAAATTGCGGCTCAACATCCTCGTTGCCTCAATAGCGGACGATCAGGGTCTAGCACTATAATTATGCACCGGTCGTGGAACAGATGTCTTCTAGCTTCAAGCCTGAACCAATGGTCTTAGTGAGTCCAGTGCACTGTGAAACATGCCACGTGCATATTCGGCGTGTTTCGTACGCTATTGATAGCGGCCGCTGTAGGGCTTGGTGAGGCTGTAGGTAGTGGATGTGTCCTCTAAAGTTACAAGTATCTTGATGAGTTGAGGAATCACCACTTGCATTTTGAAGCGTGGAGAGGACAAAAAAGAAAGTTTGCATATAATATACCCTAGCAAAAGAAAGCAGATCATCCGATTGCTACCTAACATTCTTTGTGACACTGGACGGATCTTGTAGGCATGCCCGATAAAACCTGGACCCTGTCTTCGGCTCCGCTACGGCTCCCAAAGATGAAGCTGTTGCAGAAATGGATTTGAAGAGTTGATGCGCGGTCAATGCAGCGAAGAGTCATGCTTGTATATAATTGGAGGGACATGTCATCCATTGAGATTACCAACAATTCAACGCGGAGATGATGCTCGAATGACTATGATGTCATCGATTCTCTTTCAGCAGAGCTCAACCCTCACTGCCTCATATCCAACCGCACTCTCGCAGCCATTCAATAAAGTGAAGTTTACCTATCACAGAGAATCTACACTCGGACTGCTATTCCTCGTCAATTCAACACTCTATTTACCCGTGAAATCAGGATCAATGAAAATCGTACATGGAAACGTTCAAGTTTGTCATTGTGTGTCTGGTCAAAGGGTATTGATTCATCCGTGTATAACTAAAAACAAGCATTGCCTTTATAAGTACATTTGTAGAGTTACCTTACGGGGCTGTGCAAAATTATTGAGAGTTTTCTGTAGGTACCTTAGCTTTGTTGATCATGTACTGTTTATAGTGGCCTTACCTTGACATTCAATTCAAGCTTGTAAGTGATGGTTTGTCGTTGAGTATTCGCCAGTGCCATACCATCTAAGTGTCCATAATGGCTACATGGATAGAGAAACACTACTATTTCAATAATAATTTATACGTAGGTTGTTCAAAGCTGATACTCAAGAGAAGTACTGCACAAAGCCCAGTAACAGAGTGATAGGAAATAGGCATTGAAGGTGTAGGGTGAATGTTTGGGAAAGCATCCATCCTCAAGCAACCAAAAGAAATGTTGCCCGCCCACTGAGTGCCACCACAACACAAGTTGCACCAAAACAATAATTCTGAGTCTAGTAGTTTACTCATGGCCTCCGTCAAATAGCTCCAGCGCTCTGCTCAGTTATGACGATCCAGTAGTGGCAACCACCCCGCAATCCTCAGCAATCAACCATCTACAATACAACCTACCAAGTGCTAAGCCACCATGACTCCTTCATAAAGGCCCCCCAAGTCCTCACTTACACGACCCCCGAAAATGCTCGCAGCTATGCCACCATGAAGAAGAGATCTCGTGCCTGCGAAGCTTGCCAGGCTCTCAAAGTCAAGTGCGAACCATCCCCCGGAGAGTCATCCATCTGTGAGCGATGCTCTCGTTACAGTCTCACTTGTGTCCCTGCTGCGAGAAAGTGGCAGAGAGATAGGATTGCTGAGCTGGAGGAGCAGGTTAGGAATCTACAGGATAAGCTTGATGGTGCTACCAATTCGACTCTGGGGTTGTCGACTTATGCTGCTTCGACGAGGGCTACTTCTGTGTTCTCTGATGGAGCTTGGCCGCAGACAAGTGCTAAGCCATCCGAACTCGGCTTTCTGAATTCTCGTCTAGACTACGATACTCAGCTTCGATGTCTACAAGTCTGCTCAACAACCGCTGGACAGTTCTGGTACCTTATACCTCCCGTCGACACCACCTCAGCACGCTCATGGCTAGACTCCCTCAGGGCAGGAGCCCCCGTCAAGCTCATATCCATGCTGGCCTTCACCATGTCCCCCTCCTCCGCCGAGATCGATCCCCAAACGCAGGAAGACTTACGAATCAAGACCTTTGAAATCCTCGGCCAAGCAGCTGTCGGTCTCAAACGGCCCTCCCTAGATCTGATCCAAGCCGCGCTAATAACCGGTCTCTGGATCAGACCCTCCCTGGACTGCAATCACGGGAACCCGAACCAGCTTGTCTCGCTGGCACACGATCTCAGCGTGGAGCTTGGCCTTGGAGGTGCGGAGATGCAGACTTCTGCACCGGCGTGGTTCTTCCGCATCTAGGGGCCGCTGACGCTGGAGATGCAGAAGATTTGGCTGGCGGGGTGGATGACTTCTACGATGAAGGCTGTCGGGCTGAGGAGGGTGCATAATTTTGATTGGGGAACGGCGCATTATAAGGCTCTGGGGGCGTTGGAGGCTGACGGGTCGGATCCGTTGTTCTTGGAGATGCTTTATACGATTCGACTTCACGCAAAGGTTGCTAGCTCTCTTGAGCTCTGCAATACTCGCACGTTTCTCGACGTCAACTCTGACGTTGTAGCGGCCACGAGGGGTCAGATCTACAATGATTTGAACGAGCTGAGCAACAGACCTCTCGCGGGCGATGTTCAGCTTCGTTTCTGGCGAATGCTCGTCGCAATACACGTCAACGAACCAGTTCTTCACACAACCACCAACAAAACCCTCTTCACATCCCCCTACATCTCCGAAAGAATCGGCGTCCACGACTTTGCCCGCGGTCCCATAACCCCAACAGCAGCAACAGCCCTGCACTCCATAGTGGAAGCCTGCCACCTCGCCATCTCCATAGTCCTCGAAATGGACGCCTCGACAATCCTATCCCTTCCGTCCCTCTGCTTCGGCCCAGCGGTGAGCTACACACTTTCCATCCTCATCAAAGTCTTCGTGGCAGTGTCTGCACCGGGAAACACATACAGTCAAATCCTTAACCGCGAAACCCTGCACGTGCGAGAAGCCATGCAAAAGCTCATATCGGTCAAGGAGGAGCTGCTAAGGCTCGATCCGCACATGGGCAACTGGAACACGAGGATCATAGGATCCGTCGAATGGCTGGGTGTTTGGCTGGATGATTACGAGATTATTATTGAGCGCTATGAGGAGAATCTGCAGAGGGAGGTTGCAGAACAGGAAATCGAAGGACTCAGCCCCAATGGACATTTCTAATCAATTCCTCCTGACTCTGTACTTTACACCAATCTAGTAATTAATCTTTAGTCTACGGAGTAACATACACCTTTATTCCCTGTAGCTTGAATATTTCTCCTGCAGAAAGGGTCTAGAAGCCGTTAAATCTACAGGGATGTTTCTGGCGCGGGAATCCGTGTCCTGTCACTTACACGGGTAGACTTACAAAATGACGTACACGACTCTCGGGAGGCTCCAAGGCGGTGCAATAAGCGATGAGGGCTGTGCTAGCAATTAAGCTTGTCTTTCCCCAGGGTCTTTTATGGAGACGGTGAATTTTGACCGTGGATTTTATATGTGTTTGAGTTGTGAGACCTTTGTAGTTGGGGATCAACATCATGATCACTGAGCGTTATGGATGTGATGAGCGAGAGTCGATGATGCTTTGACTTTGAGGTAGATGCTAGGTATTAGGATTGAGGAAGGGGTTTGTTTGAGGTTTGTGGTTGGCTTCATGAGGAGATGTTGTGTATAAAGTGAAGGGAGAAGCGCAACAAGAAGAGAAGTCTCATCACCCACAGCTTCACATCTTCAGCATCATAACATCACAATCGCTCTCAGCCTAACAGCTATCACCAGCTTCATTCTACTCTTGAGCACCAAATCCTCCAAGATGAAGTTCCTCAACCTCGCAGCCCTCGCATCCGCCGTGGTCGCCCAATCCGACCTCGCCAGCATTCTCTCCTCCCAATCCGACCTCTCTACGCTCGCCGAGCTCCTCGCTCTCGTCCCCGACATCGCAGAGACTCTCGCATCCGCCAGCAACATCACCATCTTTGCTCCCACCAACGATGCATTTGCCTCAGTCCCCCGAGACATTCCCGAGGGAGAAGCTATCTCTCAGCGCAACGACACCATCGCCATTGGTGCTCTGTTGTCAAACCATGTCTTCAAGGGCTATTATCCTGCCAAGGTTGCTACGGATATTCCTGTGTTTGTGCAGTCGCTGCTGGATTCGAGCTTCGTCAATTATCGTCAGCCGTTTGGCAACTTTACGGGTGGGCAGTATAATGGTATTGTGAAGGATGGCGATGATGTTGTTGTCATCTCTGGGGAAGAGACTTTGTCCTATGTGACTGAGGCCGTAAGTACTACTCCATCTCAGACATTGAGCTGGTTCTGATGCTATGATCCGCAGGATATCAAGGTGGGTGACTCGGCCATCATCCACAAAGTCGACAAGCCTCTCAGCTTCGGTCCTCCTCTCCAACTCTTTACCCGCCGCGACAACCTCCTCAACTTCAACGCCGCTCTCAACGCAGCTGATCTTCCTTACAACTTCGGCAACCTGGACCGCGACTCCTCCACCCTCGTCAACATCTCCGACTTCACCGTCTTCATCCCCAACGACGCTGCCTTTGAGGCCATTGGTTCAGTCCTCGAGAGCGCTGATCTCAAGACTCTGCAGGAGGTGTTGAAATACCACATTGTCGATGATGTCCTCTTCTCAACTGATCTAGCCAACGTCAGCGTTCCTAGTCTGCAGGGCGCTGATTTGACGTTTACTGTTGCTGAGGATGGAAGTGCTTGGGTGAATGGTGCTAAGATTCTCTTCACCAATGTTCTTCTCTTCAACGGTGTCGCTCACGTTATCGATGGGTAAGTCTTTCTTCTGCTCTTGACCACCCACGTACAGTACAGTACTGATAGCAATAGTGTCCTCAACCCTGCCGACGACCCCTTTGACCGTGCTGATCTCAAGCCCGCTGCCGATGCTGATGACCGCCTTGCTTTCCCTGGCGCCACGCCCGTCTCCAAGCTCCCTTTCTCGGTCATCAGCTACGTCGACGACAGCCAGCCTACTTACACCACCCCCGAGCTCCTCAAGACTCTGAAGGCCATTGATGTCTCAGCTCTTGCTACTGCCACGTCTACCGCTGATGCTACCACTGGTGCTGGAGAGACTACTCCCACTCCTACCGGAGTTACTCCTGTTGTCAACGCTGCAAGCTCCAAGTTTGTCGCCGGAGGAGCTAGTCTTTTCGCTGTTGTCATTGCTCTCCTGATGGTTTAAGCTGTTTGTACTTCGAGGTCGTGTTGGTAAAGCTCTTGTTAGTGCGAGTCTATGTTCTTCGCCTTAATGCTCCAGATGCAGGTCTTTCGAAGATCCAGAAATCCCCCGGTCAGAGTAGATTAGTGCTTAATATCCTGAATTTACATCTTTCTTATACAATATCTTGGGCGAATGTGAATAAACGCATACCGAATCGGGGAGAACAAGCGCCGAAGATTGGTCATGCAGACTCCATCTCGGAATACCGAGGATACGCGAGGGTCCGATAGTGGAGATCCCGCGTGCAAGGATCGCCAGAGATCGCCTCCGATCGCGATACCAATTCCATTTTCGTGCTCCAGCTACACTGATTGATTCGTCAGATTAGTTCCTTCTTGTTATAACTAGCACTTATACCAGACGTCAATCTCCCATAACAGACTTCGTCCCTGGCTTTGCAATCATTGCGCCCTTTCTCAAACCCTCGAGTAAGTCTTACTATGAGGGCGCCCGTGAAAGCACCTTCAACTTGGGGTACTACAGCTCGTCGTCTCGCATGTTGGTTGATCTTCATCTTTATTTGCTACTGGAGTGCTGAATGGATCTCAGATCATAGGGGCGCAATCTCTCAACTTCCCCTGGCCGGCACATTAGTCGCAGCACCAACAAGGCTCTACCAGCAATATTTATCCGGAAGAAGGCAATTCAGTTCATCTACGCTCAAGCTACAGGAGCAGTCTCAGCCTATCAACATGGGCTCTCAGACCAAGAACCTGGATGGGCTCAAGGAGCATCTCACTCATGATAAACTTGACGAGCTGCGAAACTTCTGGTTTGAGCATATCCCCGAGGAGGCCAACCGTATCATCGCTTCCCAAGAACTGCAAAAGAGATGGTACTTCTCGGACAAAGAGTTCGACGATGCCTGCGTGTAAGTTGCACACTTTCTCTCGATCGACAACGTCTCTAACACATCCTAGCACTCGATTCAGCCCTGTACTTGAAGCCATCCGCGCAAGAGCTTCTGTCCGTTACTCAGCCTCGGGACTCGCTAGACTGGCTGAGCCTGATCATTCTGCTCGACCAAATTCCTCGCAACTCATATCGCGGCGAGGAATCATCCATCTGCTTCACTTACTTCGACCCTCTGGCACAGCAAGTATCCCTTGAATCCATCAAGCAGGGCATCCCAGATAAAGCACCCGAGATTCGCTGGGTCTTCTCTCACCGCACCTGGTTCTACATGCCCTTAATGCACTCAGAGGATGTATCTGCACACGAAAAGGCTGTCGCTGCTTTTGAGCAGATGAACCAGGATATACTGAGCTTGATCGAGGGAACAAGCGGTGCAGATGAGTATGAGAGGAAAGCAAGAGAAGTTGTGCAGGCGGATCCTGAAGCAGCAAAGGCAAGTGGTGAGACGAGCAAAGTGTTTGAGGAGAAGCATAGAGTGATTATTGAGAGGTTTGGGAGATATCCGCATAGAAATAAGGCGCTTGGGCGGGAGGCAACGCCAGCGGAGGTGGAGTTTCTTGAGAGTGGAGGTGATACGTTTGGTAGCTGAGATGCCTGATGCATGCATTGCATAGCGAATCATTATTATGATCTGCACTATAGACAATGACCTCATTGCGCTATGATGCCTGCCATGTTGGTCCAGGTACGCTATCAAAATAATTGACGATCATATTCGCGTATCAAAGCGGGAGCGCCAGACAGGTACACGAGGCATTGATGAGAGGCAGGCACCAGAAACTGAGTGAGCCGAGAGTAAGTTCAGAGTAGATGCTTCGGCGTTTTGAAGAATTAAGTCTCCCAAACTCAATAAGCCCAAGGACAATTATTAACTGCAACGCGTCTCATGACAGCGTATGCGAATTCTATTCAGAGCCGCCTCATACGCCCAAAGCGAATACGTCCAATTTAAACGACACCCGAAAACGCCTCCCAGCGCCAATAGGAATCCACGGGGGCGCTAGTGCGGCAGCCCCAACTACCGACAGTCCACTAACGACCAGCGCCCGCCCACCAATTCCCCAGGGGTCGTTTTACGGTTCTGACATTTAATTGCCTAAACGGGAACCTCGGCGTGTCGGATGTCGAGTGATCCGACTTGCAGCATCGGTAGTTAACCTGATGCCACAGTGCCCTCGTCTGTAAAATAACACTTTTTCCTCTTCCAACTCCTATATATAATAAAGTTCTTTTTGATTCAAAATGGTTACCACTAGAGCAACTTCTCGAAGCGAGAGTGTTAGTACTGAAAGTTCTACTACGATCGACATTCCTCCTACGCCAGTTACACGAAAGCGAACGATGAAGAACACAGACTCGAGCCCCTCACTTTCAAATGGTTCGTCCAAGAAACACGTTGCTCAAGCGTGGCATCATACAGCCTCGTCCACAACAATTCTATGGCTGGCGATATCATTGCCCCTCGTCATATGGGATATAGGCTACGTCTTTGGCCGACCTCACACCATGCCTGATGGTTTCCTCCACTGGCCATTATACGTCCCGTATGCGCTGTACGGCGAAGTCGATCATGTCTACGGATGGAAGGCCTTTAATGCCAAGAACGGCTTCACAGCTGCCCAGACGGCATTAAATGTTGTTGAGACTGTCATGTATTTGGTGTATTTGTACATGCTGTGGACGCGCGCGGACAAGACGCTTGTTGGCGCGAAGAGAACTTTGAGTGGGCGTGATGGTGCGTTAGCTGTTGTTATTGGCTTTAGTGCTGCTGTTATGACGCTGAGCAAGACAATCCTATACTGTGAGTGAGTCTATTATATGTATGCATGAGATGGGGCCTAACGGACTTAGGGGCCAATGAGTACTATAGTGACTTTGACAACATTGCTCACAACACACCTATGGACCTACTCACTCTTTGGATAATTCCCAAGTAAGTATCTTTTCGATGTGCTAGAATTGATATTAATTCTTTATCAGTGGTGCCTGGATAGTCCTGCCTACCTACATGATCTCCATGTTTGGGGGAGATATTCTCGATGGTTTGACACTTGCTTCAAGCCAATCGGTAAAGACCGAATAGAATACGCACAGTGGGTCTAGTCGGATGTCTTATTTTGTATTTGGCGGATATGTATGAGCTGCGGCAATGGAGAATGGGACATGACCTTGAATACTGGGATGGGTTCCAGCGCTTTTGATGCTTGATGTATATGGACGAAACAACGGTTCGGAGTCGAATCGAGCACAATTTGGCCTTGACTTTATTTGGGCCTTCACATTCAGTCTCAGAAGCACCTCGCAATAGGAGCAACTGACATCAATACTTGATGATTAACTACTACCCTTCCCACCTCACCCGTACCTCCCACAGCAAACATAATAAAGCTAGCTATAACTATCGTCTAGACATGTCATTTCATAAAGAAATAGGGGTATTCGCTTATAACAACCAAAACAAAACAAAACATAGAAAAACGCGTCAAGCGTAATGGCAACCACACATCTCCTTGTCAGCAAATTCTCATTCTCATCTCATATCAGTCAAACCTCCCAAGTCAGCATACTGCTCCCAAGCAGGCATCATATCATCATCCTCCTCCGTCATCTCCCCCGGACTCTCCATAAACGTCTGCATCGCCGCCCAATCCGCATCCTCATTCATGATATACGGCTCCTCCACATGTGTCTTGATCCGCAAGGGCTGTGGAAACATGCTGTGTCGTCTGCTCTCAACTTCGTCTGCGTAGCGTGAGTCGGAGAACATCGCGCTGATGGGTCGGCTGCGCTTGGAGACGCGGCCGGACATTGAGCGTGCGACCATGGACATTACGTCGCGGCGGCGCTCGCGGCGTGCCTTTACGTCTTTGGGGATCGTGGGCTCGACGTAGTACTCTGTTAGGGGCGGGGTGTCGAGGGGTAATTCGGTGTCGTTGGTTTCGATGCTCTCCGGGGTTGTGTTGTCTGTGTCGTCTGTTTTTGTGTCGCTTCCGTCTGTGTCGAGGTTTACGTCGTTTGTACCGTTGCCGTAGCCGTGGACGACGATTTCGTGGTAGGTAGGTCGTGATGGCGGTGTGATTGATTGAGGGGGTGTGGTAGCGGGGGATTTAAACATGCGCATTGATCGTCGAATTGTTGAAGAGCGGCTGAGTGCCTGTGTGAATGAGTTTGAGCGAGATGGACGTGAAGGCATTGATGCTCGACGCTCCATCTTGCGGTTGTCGTGTTGTGTCTGGGGACGATCTCGGTGAGTGAGAGCGAAGTAATCGATGTCCGGTTTGATCTCAATCTTTCCCAAGGAATCTTCTCCCGCGTCTGCAGCACCATCCGGTTGCACAATCCAGGTCGGTCCGCTAGTAACGTACTGGGTCTGGCGTCTCAGGATACGGTCCAGACCGCGAGGTGTATCCCAGGGTGGAAGCTTGTCAGTCAATGCAGAGAGACTGTAGTGAGCCTCATTGATCTCGTCCTCTTGCAAATCTTTTGCTGTGTCAGTTGCGTAGCGGAGGACTTGGTATGTTGCGTAGATGAGAATCCATCGGACCTTGCGAGCATCCACCAGCGATACCTTCTCCTGTTTATCTGCCTTGTTTGGTGACATGATGGAGTCTTCTTCAAACCGGCGATATGCTCTCACAAGGTCGTTCTGCGCAACCCCTGGCTTCATTATATTCGATGCGTTGATGAGCGCAGTGTGAGCCGTTACTCTGCGATCCGATCTGAGAGTCACACGTCCAGGAAACCAAGACATGCGCCGCGAGTTGTTGCCATTCGTGTCTGGGAGAAGCGGCAGTGGATGATCCAGAACATCGTATCCATGTTCAAAGTCGAAAGACTGAACCAGTTGAATGGTACAGATCCCTCCGTGCGCTGTAGGCGGCATGGTATGTGATGAGGTATACTGATCATCAACGAGTAGACCATACAACGCCTCAAAGTCCTCACGCATAATCCGTAGAACAGCAGGATCAAACAAGTCGTTGCCAGAGTCCGCAGTTGGCGGGTAATACCCCAGCTTCGTCGTATAGAACGATAACAAAAAACTTCGGAAGCGCTCAAGATGTGCCCGGGCGCCTGCTGAGACGCTCAGATGAGCCTCGGACAACTCATCGTCCAGAAACGTCCTCAGCATGGACGATGACCGCGTCATGCGATAATCAAGTTCGAGATGTCCCTTGCGTATGAGCTTGCGTGTTGAAGGGCTAAGCTCCTATTCTCTTCGTCAGCGGCTGGCCTTAGCATTCTTGCTCAGAAAGGGGAAAAAACAACAAACCTGAAACCCAGCATTTTCGAACAGGTATTCGCTCATGCCGACGCAATGTGCAAAGGCTCGGATATACAGCTCCTTCATTTGAAAACACTCTGCGAGCTGCAGTATCGCCAGCGCGTGGTTTGGCTGGTTCGCCATGTCGAGATAGCCCTCCTCGTCGAAATACTCCATCATATCTGAGACATTGTCGTCCACACCGGATCGAAACTCATGCATACTGTGGAGAAGACCAATAAGAGCGTTGCCAAGACTGTATCCGACCATGGATCTTCGAAACACCCAGGCGAAGAAATTGCGTGTTGCGAGGTGGTAGTTGAAAGCTTGCGTTTTATCTGTCGTCGGAGGTGGCGGGATGTATAGTTCGATTTTGCGTGTTGTGTTTTTTTTACTCCATCTCATGAGCTCGCGAAGATTAGGTGTTTGAACGCCCTCCCACACGAGAAATCTTTGGATGAGAGGGTAGCATTGGGCTTCGAGGAGTGCTGAGAAGGGGACCTTGAAGGAGGGGCCTCGTTGAGAATGACCTTTTGCGTGGAGATGCACCATGCAGTTCCCATTTCGAAACCAGAGTTCAGGGTCCTGTTTCTGTAATTAGATATCTATTCAGTTTCATGAGCAATTCTCGACCGACTCACTCGTCGAATGTTGTCCCATTCTGTGCACGTTCTCGCAGCACCATCCCACCGCTTCACAGTTGGATGATGATCCATTCTCCCAGTCACAAAAGCGCTGAACCGCAGGGAACTCTGTCTAGAGTTCACCTGTATAGACGGCATAGTGAGGGTCGTATATATGCCAAAAATATCAACAACCAAAAGCAGCTGAACAAATCTGCAGCAAGCCGCGTCGTCGGGTTGTTGCAGGTATATGAGTCTTTGTTCGTTAAATCCCCCTGCTCTGTTTGGGGAAAAGGGCCCTGTCGTTTCTTTTACGAGCGCGTAAAATAAAATAAAACCCCCATCACAACTCAAGTGATACGGCCATATCGAAGGGCAAAAAGACGTCAGGTGCAGGGTTCCATGACGGGTCCTACGTAGGAGATCTCCAGAAGATTCAAGACAAGACGAAAGATCTCAGACCTCGCCCGGGGGGCATACAGCCATGTTAATATTGGATCACTGCTCTGCTCTGCTCAGCTCTGAACCCGTCACAAAGCACCAAGCCTAGCCTTGCCCAACAGAGCGAACCCTTGAACCCGGCAAGACAGGGCCCCGACGGTCGGAATTTGAATTCAAGCCAAGACCAAACCCAAGAGGTAAGACACTATCAAGCCACCGCATGCATTAGCGTCCTTTTTCCTCATTGACTTGTTCAGCGTC